GCACCCTGGGGTGGGTGCAGTGGTGCAATGGGTGCAGCACCCTGGAAAGGATGCAATGCTGCAAAGGGTGCAACCCCATGGCAATGGTGCAGCGCTGCAATGGGTGCAACACTGCGATGGGTGCAACGCTGTGGAAAAAACTGCAGCATGCAGGCAGGGTCCAATACCAGGGGTAATGGGTGCAATAATGGGAAAGGGGTGCAATAATGGGAAGAGGGTGCAATGCCAGGAAGGATGCAGCATCCCCGCTCTCACTCACCCACGGGGAAAGAGGTACCCGGGCAGGGCCAGGTAGGAACCATCCCGAAACGCGGCACTGAACTGTCCGGGGGCATCTGGGGGGACAGGGAGGGTCAGGAGGAGTCGGGGAAGAAGGTGCCACACCCGTGGTGGCACCTTTGGGTGCAGAAAGGGGACATAAATGGGTGCAGGACCCTACCACCGCCCCCGCTGCCATCCTGCCAGTCCTGCTCCAGCTCTGTCAGCGCCACACCTGCAGAGAGAGGGGTTGGGGATGGGGTGGGATGTGTGTCCCCCCATCCCCAGCGTCCCCAGTGTCCCCCAGTGCCCCACTCACTGTGCTGGCAGCGGGCCCCGGTGTAGCCCTGTGGGCAGAGGCAGGGGCCCCCCTTGCAAGGGCCCCCCTTTGCAGGTGCCCCCGTGCAGGCAGGGGTTGTGGCGTCGGCAGCCATCATCACCGTCGTCCTCCTCTCGCTCACAGCGCAGCCCTGGGGACACCGCAGGGGACAGTGGGTGACGCGGGGCGCGCGTGCACACACACACATGTGCACAGCACCCACAGTGCACACCAAACAGATGCGAACCCACTGCACAGCATGCACACGCATGCACAGAAGATGCACCCGCTTGCAAACTGCACACACACGCACACACAGCGCACAAGACGCGTGTAAGTGCAGCACATACGCATGGGCAGTGCACACGCATGCATGCACAGCACTTGCATATGCGGCACACACGTGTGCAGTGCACACACGCAGTGCACACATGCACAGTACACATGCATGGATAGCAGACATCCATGTGCAGCACACATGCACGGATTGTGCACACGCTTACACAGGGCACACATGCATGCTTAGCACACATCCATGTGCACATGTAGCACACGCATGCGAGGCGGCACACGTGATGCACAGCACAGATGAACACACAGCACACATGTGCACCACACACGCGTGCACCGCACACATCCATATGCAGCATGCATGTATGCACGGTGCACATGGTTACACACAGCGCACATGCAACACGTATGCATGCGCAGTGCACACGCTTGCACCCATGGTACACACACACCTGCACAGCAAATGCACCCGGTGCCCACATGCAAACCACACACGTGTACACGTCCAACGCACCCACTGCCCACACAAACTGCCCCCACGCACACATGTGCACCATGATGCCCCCATTTGCCCACACGTGAACCACCCTCGAGGGTTCACCCCCGCCCACGCGTGTCTGCTCACCGCCATAGCCAGGGGGGCAGCGGCAGTGCCAGGGGGAGCTCCAGGCAGTGCCCCCCATCCAGGCAGGTGGTGGGTGCACAGGCCGATGGGGGCCCGCACTGCCCCACGCCCCACGCCCGCAGGAAGCTCTCCCTCAAATCCACCTTTTTCCCGTTGACAGCCACCTGCGGGGATACCAGGGGTCAGGGAGGAGATACTCCAGCCCCACTGGGGTGGGGTGCAGATTTCGGTGTGGTCTCACCTCTGCGATGCAGCCCCGGAAGGAGGCATTGGTGGGGGGACGCAGGGGGGGTTCGGTGCCCCCCAGGTAGAAGGGCCCACGCAGGTTGAGGCCTTGGCTCTTGCCGGGTGAGGAGCGTTTGACTGGGGGGGCCGCATCCACCACCATTGTCCCGTCCTTGTGCACCCGCTCGGCTGTCACCCGGTGCCACCGGCCCAGCGCCACTGGCTCAACACTGCGCAGCACTGCAGTGCCTGCGGGTACACAGAGGGGGCATCATGGAGGGGCACTGGGGGACCCTGGTGGTGACAGAGGATCCCCAGTGACACCAGGAGACCCCAGTGATGCCAAGGGACCCTGGTGGCACTTGGGAACCCCAATGATGCCCAGTGATAGACCTGAGTCCAATGGTGGACCCTGGTGACACTCAGGGACCCCAGCAATGCCAGGCCACCCCACCTACAGCCAGGGTCCCCAGTGCCACCAGTCTCCCGGTGGTGCCACCAGCCCTCCCATCACCCTGTCACCCTACCTGAGCCCAGCTCATAGCTGAACTCGAGGTGGCCACCGATCATGGCCAAGGCAACGAAGTCCTCAACGGGGGCGGCTTTGCCAGCGCTGAAGAGCAGGAGACCATTGGGGGCCAGGGGCAGGAACTCAGCCTCCAGCCGCAGCTCGTGGTGGACGTTGGTGAGGGGCGGGTAGGACACAAAGGCACCCTCCTCATTGAAGGACGGCACGGTCACCGCCTCGCCTATGGCACCCCAAAATCAGTGCCCAGCTGGTGGGATCCATTCTTCATCCCCATGTTATCCATCTCCCCTGGTGGGACCCATCCTCCATCCCACACTGCTCATCTCCCCAGGGTGGTCCCCAGTCTTGTGCCCATGTCCCCAGGGTGGTGCCCAACTCCATGCCCATTTCTAGGGTAGTCCTCAGCCCATGTCCCTAGGGTGGTCCCCAATCCCTCATCCCCATTGTGTCCATCTCCCCAGATGGTGCTTAATCCCCTGTCCCCATCATGCCTGTGTCCCCAGGGTGGTCCCCAGCCCCTGTCCCCATGTCTCCAGGGTGGTCCCAGCACCATTTCCTCTTCCCCAGGGTGGTGCCAGCCCTGTGTCCGTGTCCCCAGGCTGGTGCCAACCCTGTCCCCATCTTCCCAGGGTAGTCCCCACCCCATGCTTGTGTGCTTAGGGTGGTGCCAGCCCCATCTCGGTCTCCCCAAGGTGATCCCCAGCCCTTTGTCTCTGTGTCCAGGGTGGTCCCACCCCCATCCCCCTGTGCCCAGGGTGGTTCCCAACCCCATGCCCGTGTCCCCAGGGTGGTGCCAGCTCCATCCTCAAGTCTCCATGTCCCCATGTCCCTGTGTCCCTGGCCCCATGTCCCCAGCCATGCTCACCCTCAGTGCAGCGCTCCCCGGTCTTGCCCAGGTGGCAGCGGCAGGTGTAGCCTTGCCCATCTGCCCGGTTGATGCAGGTGGCATCAGCCCCGCACGCCTCTGTTGGGTGACAAGCAGTGAGCACTCACCTCAGTGAGTGACACTGGGGGAAGACATCCCCATGGGACAGGGGCGCCCACCTGGGTGACAATGTAGAGCACGTGGGTACTCGCAGTTGCTGCCGGTGAAAGACGTAGGTGCCACTCTCGGCATCCTGGCAGACGCCGCCGTTCTGCAGGGGGGTGACACGGGTGTCAGCGATGGGTGGCCATGGGTGGGTTTCACCCACCTCCCCAGCCCCAGCCTCACCTGGCATGGCCGGTCCTGGCAGGTGGGACAATTGGTGACACCGTGCGCCTGCAGGTCCATGTCCCCAAAAGCCACCTCTTCCCCTTGGATGCGGAGCTGGCGCACACAGCCTGCAGAGGGACAGAGATAAAGGTGGAGGGGTCACACAATGCTCAGCATCCCCCCACCCTGGTGTCCTGCCCAAAAAACCCCATGACTCACCCATGAATCCACGGCTCAGCCCTGTCTTGGCCACGGCATCGAAATCGGGGTAACCCCCCAGGTACAGCTCCTCGTTCAGGTCCAGCCCCTGAAACTTCCCCTGCGGGCACAGGCAGGTGAGCACTACCTCTGGTACCCTCACCCCCACCCCATACATCAACACCTCCCCAGAAACATACCTGGGAGGTTCCATTGACTGGGGGGTGTCCATCCAGAGCCAGCGACCCCCAGGTGAGGTTGCGGAGCAGGCGGACGCTGTGGTACTCGCCCAAATGCAGCGATGTCGGGTGCCGGATAGTGGCCATGCCTGAACCGGCGTCAAATCTGCATTTTTTTGGAGGAGCCCAATGGGTGTGGGTTGGTGCTGGCACCCATCCACCCCCTATAGCACTCACTCACGGGTCTCACCTAAATTCGGGGCGCCCACCCACCAAACCGAAGGAGATGAAGTCAGCGCCGCTGTTTTTTCGCTGCCCGTTGTAGAGAAGGAGCCCTGCAGGGTGGCATGGGGGGGGAGTCAGGCTGGATGGTACCCACCCCAGTAGGGGGGGTCATGCCAAGGGAAACCCCAAGATACACCCAGCGTGGAGGAAAAACACTCCCTAAGGTAGAGAATGGGAGCTAAGGGAGGATGGAGGGAGATGGGAGGGATGGAGGAGACACGAGGGGACATGGGGGGGATACGGGAGGAACAAAGGGGGCTTACCGTCAGCAGCATCAGGTCGGAAGGTGATAAGGATCTCAAACCTCTTGTAGGCATCCTTGATGGTAGGCAGGGGGAGGAAGGAGTGGGGCGTCTGCCCAAAATAAGGGACCAGGCGGTCTGCAGGGACAAGAGTCAGGAAGGGTGGATGTACACCAGGCCCCCTACCCACCTTGTCTGTCTGTCCGTCCGTCCATCCTCACCTCGCACCCTGAGGACGTAGTAGGCCGTCTCCTGGCCGCGGTGGTTGGTGGCGGCGCAGGCGTAGACGCCAGCATCCTCATGGTGCACAGCCGGCAGCGTCAGAACATTCCCCTCCACCTGGGCACCCGCCGGCAGCTCCCCCTCCAGCTGTAGCACAGTAAGGTGGGGGGGTCAGCACCCATAGGGTGCCCCCCAACCACCTTCTCTCACCCCCATCCCTCCATCTCACCTTGCTCCAGGTGATCTCTGGCACCGGGAAGCCAGATGCCAAGCAAGGCAATATGGCAGTCGACCCCACAGAGACTTCCTTCACCTCTGGCTGTCCAGCGATTTGGGGGGCGGCTGGGGACGCAGAGAGGTGTCACCAACCCCGAGGTGACACAGTGTCCCCATCCCCACGTCCCTGTGCTCACCTTGCACGTGGAGGATAACGTGGGACTGGACGGTGCCCACAGCATTGGTGGCAGTGCAGCGGTACTGCCCGGCATCCGCCCGCTCCACCCGCTCAATGGTGAGAGTGCCGGCGCGCACCAGCACCCCGGGGCGGATGCGGCCCCCCACTTTGCTCCAGGTGACATGGGGACGGGGTTCACCCAAGCCCAGACACTCCAGCTCTACCGTCGTCCCTGCCAGCACTGTCTGCACCGCCGTCCGGATGTTGATCAGGGCCCTGGGGAGAGCTTTCGGGGGGGGACACAAAGGGGTTTTGGGGTACCCTGCAATGTAGGGCAGCCATTGTGGTCTGGGGGACAACCAGAGTGAGAGATGGGGAGAAAAGGAGTGCTCATGGGGATGGGGAGAGATTTGGGGTATCAGGGTTCCCATGGGTGGGGGGAGATTGGGGTATCAGGGTGCTCATGGGTGTGGGGAGAGACAGGGGTCCCCAAGGGCATGGGAAGAGGTTGGAGATATTGGGGTACTCATGGGTATGGGGAGAGAGGGAGGGTATTGGGGTGCCCATAAGCATGGGAAGTGATGTGGGGTATTGGGGTGCTCATGGGTGTGGGGAGAGATGGGAGGTACCAGGGTGCCCATGGGTGTTGGAATAAACAGGAAGATTTTGGGGTGCCCATGGGCAGGGGAAGAAATAGGGCATATTGGGGTGCCCCTGGATTTGGGGACAGGGGTCCTGGGGTGCCAGTGTTTGCGGGTGACAGGCTAGGGGGTGCTCATGTCTCCAGGGGTGAGGGGAGGCGCTCCTACCTTGGACAGTGAGGGTGGCCCTGTCCTCCGCCTGCGCGCCCGGGGCACTGGCCCGGCACACGTAGACCCCCTGTGCCCCCCATGCCAGCTCTGGCAGCCTGTGGGGACACAGCCAGGGTGTGGGACCCTGTGCGGGGCAGGTGGGATGGGGGAGTCCCCCCTGCCCCGTTCCCCCCACTCCTTACCGCAGCACCCCATCTCGCACACTGTGGGTGGGGGGCAGCTCCCCGCCATCCTTCAGCCACTCCAGACGTGCCCGGGGGTCTCCCAAAATGGCGCAGGCAAATTCGGCGGTGCTGCCTACCCCCTTGACAAGGCTCCCCGGTGTCACCCGGACAGTCAAGGGACCACTACTGCTGTCCCCACCATCACCAGAGTCACCTAGGCAGGATGCAAAGCCCTGATGGTACCCAGCTGTGCAGACATCCCCAGCATGTGCACCCCTGTTTTGGGGGGGGCTCACCATGGACAACTACACGGGCAAAGGTCTCAGCGGTGCCGACACGGTTGGTGACAAGGCAGCGGTAGGTGCCAGCGTCGGCAGGCAACACCGGGCTGATGCGGAGGAGGCCAGCGCGGTGCATGACGCGTGCTGAGAAGCTGCCGTTGACCTTGTCCCAGGCATAGAGCAGCGGTGGGGTGCCATGGGCCACGCACTGCACCTGCAGCGCGTCTCCAGCACGCACTGTGGACTCGTCTGGCAGGCTGGTGGCGTACGGCGGTGCTGTGGAGATGGCCAGTACCGTCAGTGCCCAGCCACAGCCGGGATGGGACAACAAATGGGTCAACGGGACAACGAGTGGGTCAACGGGGCAACGAGTGGGTCAACGGGCCAAGAAGGTGGGAGGGTGTGGGTAGAGATGGAGATAGGCATGTGCTAGGATGGATCCATGAGGCAGAGGTGGATGGAGAACTTTAAGAGAAGATGGAGAGATGGATGTGAGGTGGGATGGACCAGAGGTGGATGGATCCATGAGGAAGGGTTGGCTGGATGAAGGAGTGTGAGAGGAGATGGAGAGATGGATGTGGACTGGGATGGTTGAGTGATGGATGAATCCACAAGAAAGAGATGGAAGGATGGAAGGATGGATGGATGGATGGATGAATGAGTTTAAGAGTAAATGGAGATGGGCGTGTGCTGGGATGAGTAAGATGTGTGGATGCACAAGGAAGAGATGGATGGATGGGTATGAGAGGAGATGGAGCGATGCATGTGAGCTGGCATGGATGGATCCACAAGAAAGAGGTGGATGGAGGGGTGTGACAGGAGATGGAGGGATGGGCGTGTGCAGGGATGGATGAGTGATGGATGAATCCACCAGGAAAAGATGGATGGAAGGGTGTGAGAGGAGATGGAGATAGATGTGAGCTGGCATGGTTGAATAATGAATGAATCCACAAGGAAGGGATGGATGGTGAAGATTGAGAGAAGATGGAGAGATGGATGCGTGCTGGGATGAATGAATCCACCAGGAAGGGGTGGACAGAGGGGTGTGAGAAGAGATGGAGACATAGGTGTGAGCTGGGATAGTTGAGTGATGGTGAATCCACCAGGAAGGGATGGATGGAGGGGTGTAATAGGAGATGGAGAGATGGGCGTGTGCTGCAATAGAAGAGCGACAGATGGATCCATGAATAGGGGATGGATGGAGGAGAGAGCAGAAGCAGAGATGGACGTGCACAGCAAGGGGCAAGCAGATGGATGCATCCATGAGGAAGGGCTGCACGATGGAGCTTGAGAGGTGATTGAGAGGAGGATGAGCACCAGGATGGGGCCAGGATGGACTGGACAGGAGGGTGGGAGCAGCAATGGAGATGGCCACATGCAGAGGAAGGACTGAGAGGAACCAAGGATGGGTAACGACAACAGCAAAGGCGACAGTGGTGATGGCAGGAGGGACTCAGGGCCACCCCAACCCTTGCTGCTGCCCCCTTACTCTCCACATCGAGGGTGACAAAGGCCTCGGCGGAGCCAGCGGGGTTGCTGGCATTGCAGATGTACTGGCCCGAGTCCTGCTGCGCGGCGCGGGGGATCACCAAGCTGCCGTTCACCACCCGGTGCTGCCAGGGCAGGGGCGCCCTCAGCTTTGACCACTCAATGCGGGGCGCTGGCTCACCTATGGGCAACACCACTGACTGTCACCACAGTGTTGGGGGACACCATGGCCAGACACCCCTCCTGTGCCCCATTCCTGCACCTCTGGCTGTGCAGTGCAGCGTGGCGTTGTCCCCAGCCACCACAGTGACGGCAGGCGGCACGGTGACCTCAGGGGCGCCGGGGTGCCGCTGCGTCGTCTCCACGTTGACATCCACCCGGGCTTGTGCTGAGCCCAGGGCGCTGTGTGCCGTGCAGACGTAGGTCCCGGCGTGCTCCAGCTTGGCCGGCGAGAGCTGGCGGACACAGTGGGACAGGGTGGGTGGTGAGCACCAGGTATGCACCGGTGCCCCGTGGCACCCCTGGGTGCCCCCATACCTGCAAGATGGCTTGGCTGTCCATGTGCAGCAGTGTCTGGTGCTCCACCTTCTGCCGGGAGCCCAGCCGGCTCCAGCGCACCAGCGGCCGCGGTTCGCCCCGGCCAAGGCACTCCAGGCTGATGGATTTGCCCTCCCTCACTGTCACGGGGCCCGGCGGCATCACTGACACTGTGGGGGCACCTGGAGAAGGGGGAGGACATCAGCATGGGGATGGGGATAGCACCATTAAAGGCGTTGGCATGGCTGTGGTGGCACCATCATCCTTGGGGCAGCTGGAGTATGCGGAGAACATTGGCATGGGGATGGGGACATCACCACCCCAGGAACATCTGGAGCACATAGAGGACCTCAGCATGGGGATGGGGACATTACAACCCCGGGAGCACCTGTAACACGAAGAGGACATGGGGATCGGGACACCACTACACTGGGGGCTCCTGGAGCACAGGGTAGATGTCAACATGGGGATGGTGATGGGGACACCGTCAGCTCGGGGGCACCTGGAGCACACGGAGATGGGGACAGCGACACCCCAGCCCATGGTTGACGACGCTGCTGGCGACACCGAAGCGGTTGGCGGCCACGCAGTGGTAGGCACCCTGGTTGCCCACATGGGCGCCAGTGATGGAGATGACGGAGCCATTGGTGCTGATCTTCACATTGTCTGGGCAAGGAGGAACCATCAACACCAGGGCCACCTTGGGGACTGCCCTGGGGCCACCCTGGGGACCACCATACCTTGGAAATGTTGGCCAGGTCCCATCCGCCAAGTGACATTGACAGGCTGGGCACCATCATGAATGCGGCACTTGAAGGTGGCATCCTCACCTGGTGCCACCGCCATGCTGTGCGGGTCGATGGAGATGATGGGGCTCTGCAGACCTGCAGGGACAAAGGGAAGCCACCAAGGTCACCCGTGTCCCCCCTCTTCCTCTCAGCATCCTCCTTCACACTGTGGCCACACTCACGGTAGCTGGAGCTGTCACGGGAGGTGACAGTGACAGTGACAGTGGCCTCACGGGAGACGCTGCCCATGTCTGCCCGGCACACGTACTCCCCTGAATCGGCCACCGACAGCTGCGACAGCCGCAGGTGGGACCCCGAAACCTGTGGACGCAATGGCAGAGGGGTGGTGGTGGCATCAACCGGCCACCCACGGCCACCATCCCCCACCCCGCTGGTGTCCCCACCTACTTGGTGCTTGGCTGGGAGGGACCCGCCACGCTTGTACCAGGTGATGGTGGCCTGTCCTTGGCCAGCCACCACGCAGTCCAGGTCCAGGGTCTGTCCCTCGGTGATAGTGGACGCTGAAGACTCGATGCGGATTGGGGGGGTGATGCCAGCAGCTGAGCAGGCAGAGGAAAGGGTAAATGTCCCCATCAGTCCCCGTCACCACTGGGAATGTGTCCCCTCAAGGGTGGCACTCACAGTGGGATGGGTTGGCTCCATCATCAATGGTGACAATGAGGGACGTCTCCTGTGTGACACCCCCTGATGTCACCCGGCACACGTACTCCCCCGAGTCGGCTGCTGTCACCTGGGGGATGCGCAGGCGGGTGCCTGACACCTTGGAGGGGACAATTTGGGGACAAGTCAGCACCGGAGAGCAGACGACAGGACAAATTCAAGGTGATCTCCCACTCTGCACTCTACCTGGTGGCTGGTGGGCAGGGATCCACCGCGCTTGTACCATGTCACTGTGGTGGGGCCGGACCCGGCCACCACGCAGTTGAGGTCCAGGATCTGTCCCTCCGCAATGGCCGAGGACGAGGACTCAATGCGGGGGGGCTGGGAGGCGCCAGGGGCTGGAGGGGACAGCAAAACGGAACATTTGTCACCGAGGTGGCACCCAGCTGTCCCCAAGTGCTGCCCTCTTGCTCGCACTCACAGTAATAGGTGCCGGCGCTGGCGGGTACGGTGACGATGACGGACGCCTCCTGTGTGACAGTCCCCAGGGTCACCCGGCACACGTACTCCCCCGAATCGGCCACTGCCACCTGGGCGAGGCGCAGGCGGGTCCCTGCCACCTGCAGAGGTGACAAGTTGGGGACACCTCAGTGTCTGACATGGGGGCTGCGCTCTGCAGAGCGATGTCACCTCCCCGGTGTCCCACCTGGCTGTTGGGGGGCAGAGCCCCCCCACGCCGGTACCAGGTGACATGGGGGTGGCCCTGTCCTGCCACCATGCAGTTGAGGTCCAGGGTCTGTCCCTCGGTGACAGCCGCGGACGAGGTCTCAATCCTCACTGGAGGGGTGACGCCAACAGCTGTGGGTGGCAGCGGGGTCAGAAGGGACAGCCACCACGTGTCCCCATCATGTCCCCATGTCACCTCCCACCCGTCCCCAGTACCATAAGAGGAGCCGACACCGGTCTGGATGGTGACAATGAGGGATGTCTCATGGGTGACGCTGCCGGATGTGACCCGGCACACATACTCCCCTGAATCGGCTGCTGTCACCTGGGGGATGCGCAGGCGGGAACCCGACACCTGGGGGGGAAAGGCGGGAACACGTGTGCTGGGGAGGAAGACACATGTGACAAACCCCTCAGAACCTCCAAAAAGCCCTTTTCTGCCCCAAATTGCCCCTCTGGTGTCCCCTACCTGGTGCTTGGCTGGAAGGGGACCCCCACGCTTGTACCAGGTGACGGTGGCCTGTCCATGCCCGGCCACTACGCAGTTGAGGTCCAGGCTCTGTCCCTCAGCCACGGAGGAGGATGAGGACTCAATGCGCAGGGGAGGCGTGACACCAATGGCTGGGGATTGAGATGGGAGGGTCACCCCTAGGGTTGTGGCATGGTCCCCCGGTCCCTTGTCCCCTCCTGGTCCCCACTCACGGTAGGCGCTGGGCCCGCTGGGCTGGATGGTCACCATGACAGAAGTCTCCTTGGTGGTGGCCCCGCTGGTCACCCGGCACACGTACTCGCCTGAATCGGCCGCTGTCACCTGCAGCAGTTTTTTTTTCGGACACCTGTGGGGAGGGGACACAGAGGCCACCAGGGCCATTTGAGCCTCCACAGAGCCATCAGTGCTTGCATGGGGCCATCTGGGATTGCTCAAGGCCACTAAAGCTTGTGTGGGCCACCTGGGCTTCCATGGGGTCACCTGGGCTTGCATTAGGCCATCTACATTTGCATGGGTCACTTTGGCTTGCGTTAGGCCATCTTCATTTGCATGGGTCATTTCGGCTTGCACAGGGCCAGCCGGGCTTGCATGG